TAAACTATCAAAGAAACATTTAACAAGCACACTTAAAAAGCTCGTTTGGGGGCGCATTTGATGCCCGCACAACACGCACAAAACCATTGCACGAAATAAATTTCAAGATTTAACTCTCGATCCCGAAGTAAAACTATAAAATTAGACAAACTTTTGTTGGTCGCAACGTATTATCAATTAAATGACATTCCGGTACATAACAACATAGCCCTTACAATATTAATTTAACAATACAATTCATTTCGACAACTCATTCATAAAATCATCGGAAGGTGTAACACGTAGCACATACACTTTCACACGTAATACGTCGGAAGTTTCATAATATAGACGTACTACTGAAGTGGTGTTCCTTTCTAGATAAGACCCTCGTAATATTAGAGAGTATACGATTCAATTTAGCTGTTTCTTACGAGCTATATCCGGTCACTGAAGGACCAATAGTAGCACAATGCTCGAAGCTTTATATATATCGTTAACGCGTGTATCATAATTATATTATCGGTGCAAAAAGTCTAATAGATAGGTACTACGCGCTATTTAGAATAGTTCGTGGACACTTGAGCTCCTTTACCGACCGTTAATATACTCCTTTTACTTATAAAGTCTTTGTCTTCTACCACTAACAATAATCTGTAATAATATTCAATAACCAATGTTTTATATATGCTTACAATGTACACGATTTTAAATTTCTTTCAGTGCTCAATATTATATATAATTTTTTTATTTATAATAAAATTCGTTGGCTACCTAAGAGTGGTGTAACTATGAAGGAGAACGGGTTCTACGATAGGGAAGGAAATACATTTATTTATATACATTTAACGTCACACAAAAATGATCGAATCTTATTTAAGACGTATAGAATGAAAGACATCTTTGTTTCAAATATTGTTATCACAATATTACCTGTAAATACAGAATCATCTCTGTATTCCGTTAAATGTATGAAAAGTATGGATATGAAGCGTGTCATATAATATTTGAACAATAACACCATACTTAGATTTATCATAAGGAAAAATAAATTTTAGTTAAATATTGTAAGTTGTTGAACAGGGTTTACAAGAAAAATAACAATCGATATATAAAATATGCCACGCAACACTCCAAGTCGATATAATAGCTACAATACTAGCTCGTGCCTACAACTAGGGAACACACTAATTTTTAGGAGAGAGGGCTACAGTACGCTTGAACAACGCGCTGCTTGTTCTACTTTAATTCCTCGCGTGCCTTCCACTGAGCAGTCAAACTGTCTCCCATATAGAACTACAAAGTCAAATTTTTTTATTGCTCCAAAACAAAGATTACAACTACCCTCGTGTAGGCAATGTCTACACTCATGTTGCGGCAACACTCATGCTTACTTTTATGCTTTTAATTCACTTTTAGCATATAGCGTATTAACAAATTTAATTGTTTTATCACATTGAAGATTTAATACAGGAAACTACGTTTATTTTTAGTATTGACGGTTAAAACTTAATTGAAGTGCTTGACACAAAATAATTTCCTGCCAATTAAATATATTGGGAAATTTTTTTTTCTCAAATATAGTTCAAGTGATATTCTCAAGAGTATATGAATAAAGTAATTTTAGTATATCAGTTAGTGTTGCCACATATCCTAAATTCGCAACCCAACTCCAGCAATATTCTTTCATAACCTACTTTTCTCACAGAAAGTGTGAATAGACACTACAATAGTTTCAAAAATATTAAGTCTTACAATGTTTCTCGTATCATTTAAGAATGATTATTATATTTTATTATGTACATTAGAAGCGCATTTTCACCAGAGTCGACACTGGAAGATTTATGAAGGGATCTAAGATTAATACTACATAGGATAAATTGTGACTTCGGTATACAGTCGCAATTTCACACCATAGTTCATTAAGAGACTGATTATAACACTCTTTATATAAGAATAATAATCATACATTAAATGACGAAGAAATTTTCTTCGTCATTTACTTCCCTCCGTTATTTTCATTTGGCTTTACTTAATATATATAGTTTCCTGATAACACCACTCTATAAATGTCACTCTTTCTGACATTGTTATGATAGAACACCATTTTAAGATTATCATTCTAGTAATTATTAGGAAATTACATAATGCAGTCACCATATCGAATTACTAACAACAGAAGTGAATTTTTCATTCAAATAAAAATCAAATGTTCATTTTTGCAAATCATAAATCATAATGTGCTTGAAGTTAGTTCGCAATGCAAAGCGAAATGTCAATTTGCCAGTCCTATACTTATTGAGTATAGTTAGGTTAGCGAGATGATAGAGAGTAATTGTGTTCTGTGGCGAGATGCACACGCTCAAAGAAACCAATAAGTACATATTTTCGGATTTGGGTACGGAATATATATTTCGGAATGGGTATGGTTTAGAAAATGTTTGAACCTTGAATCTAAAGTTTCAAATTTTTTTTTAAATAATACATAAAATGCGACAAGATAGAAACAATGTTGCATTTTTTTTAAAGTAAATGAAATAAAGAATTAATAAATAAATAAATAACAAATAAACTTGCGGTGTTTGAATCAAGTTGCAATTAAGGAATATATTTTATCCACACAGAGAGCCAGTATGAAATATTATTTTTTGTTTTAATTAAAATTCGAAATTTAAAAGTTAAATATAAATCCGACGATTGTCCACTTTTCTCTGCCTACAGTTATTATACAGTAACTATGATCCACACATAATTGAGCTGAGTTGAATAATATTTGACTGTTGTCCTAAAGTGTAAAGGTAAGCAAGACCATTTCATTGTATAAATACACAAATACTCCTCTCGAATAACTTTAAAAGGACAAAGAATTCGCCTTCCGAAGAGTCCTATGTCTACATTTCAAATAATAAAGATATCAATAATTTAATAATGTATTCAAGCTAAGATTTAAGATTCAAGTTGATAATTAGCAATCGAACATTCATTTACGATGTTTGCATCTACTACTTATTTGTTACGTTATTTTTTGTACCGTGCTATTAAATTCAAATCCATTTGTTATGTTAGTTCCGACTATATATTGAACAACTGTTTCATTTTGTTTGTTAAATATTTGTTTCGGTTCATGGCCTATATGAAATGGTCCTCCTTATCTCTAACCAGCATATGGCGAAATACTCAAACGTTACTCAATTTTAAGATGTCGTTAAGTGTCGTGCTGTCAGTCAATTTGGACTCAAAGTGATAGAGACAGCACGAGATTTAACGGTATCTTTAAATTGAGGAGCACTTAAGTATTTGGGCAAGGTGTGTGTGTGTGTGCGTGCGTGTGCGTGGTCAGTGCAGCGGCAAGCAGAACATGTGCTGCAGCAGCGTGGGCTTGCGCGCCGGCAGCTCCGAGCACACGGAGTCGTAGTCCGACGACGACGACTCCGCGCCGTACCCGTATGCCTGCTAACAACATTTACAATTAAACATTTTCTACAAACCACTTCAATATAAATTATTAACAATAACTCAAACACTATTGGTCAGACCTTGATCAAATTGTATGAGACCACATATGAAGCACCAGCTTTCAAATAAAAAAATCTCCGTCTCCGTCTCCTTTTTGAAGTCGGTAGAAAATACAATAATTACAAATACAACACAACATGGAAAATCAAAAAGTGGCATGACAAGGTGACAATACCCCGGAGAAAGCGATACTACATTGAGCCACCAGACTTGTATGAGAAACTAAAGATCCTTACACACTAGGGTTTTTTTTCTATGGATAGTCTCTCGATGCTACCTGCGCCAACTGTCTTTACCGTTACCATTACAGCCTTTTGAAGTTTACTGCTGAACAAAGGCCTCCCTCATAAACTGCCTCATAGGGAAGATATTTACCATAGTTGCCACGCTTGCCAAGCGGGTTAGTTATTAGAAAGACGCTGCTGCCCATCTCCTGATTTGTTTTCCTCTATCGCCTCTTACGACACCCACTCGTAAGAAGCGATAGAAGGACACACAAAAAATGCGACTCAAGCTGCGAAAAAAATTTGCGACCTAATGCAGTGTCAGTAAGAGTAGCACAAAGTTAATTGAAACGTTTTCAATCCAGGAATTTTGATGTCAAAGATGCAGCTCGCCCTAATCGCCGTCATACAAATAAAGTTGATGCCATTTTTAAAAAAGTGGAGCAAGATCGGCATATTAGTAATTACGACGAGTTACGAAACCTAATGAATCGTGTACTCATTTACGATTCTCTATTGAAACGTAATAAAACAAAACCATTTTTGAAAAAATTTATGACTAATAATGAAAAGAGGACAACCTACGACAAGAACGTGTGAAAAAGAACATGGTCAAGGAGTAGTCAAACTCTACAAACTAGCCAAACCCGGATTAACACGCAATAAAGTGATGACGTGTCTATGATGGGATTGGATGGTCATCGTTTATTATGCGCTTTTACTGCCGGAAAAACCGTCGATTCGGATCTCTACTGCCAAACGGCTAACGAGACACAATTAAGTAATTGAGAAAAAACGGCCGGAATAGATGAATAAGCAAGGAGTGGTCTTTCATCATGATAACGCCAAACCACACATCTTTGGTCACTCAGCAAAAATTGAGAGAGTCGGTTGGGAAGTGTTAACGCATCCACCATATAGTCCTGACTTTACACTCAGATTTTCACCTGTTTCGGTCTCTTCAGAATTCTTTGGGTAGTGTACATATTTTAGATTAAAAATCCCAAGATTTCTACAGCAATGGGATTATGTCACTACCAACAAGTTGTCGAACAAAATGGCACATATACTTTATAATTAAATAACAAATAAATAAAACTTTGAAAAAAAAATGCCTTGAATTTGTATATAAAATACGAAGAAACTTTTTCCCCGACCTTATATGTAATTTACGTAGCTCTACATCGAGCCACAGATCCTAGGTTACGGGTCATGGGTCGCTGGTCGTGGGTCACTGACCTGCGCGGGGTCATGGTACGGGTGCAGGCGGCAGGCGTGCTGTCACACGCAGTCCTCGAGCGACATCAGCAGCGGGTTCACGTACTCGAAGCCTTCGAACTCCGACTGGTCGATGTCCGCTATCACCGTGCTGTTGAACGAAATTAATGTTTCTTATCGTAAACCAAAGCAGTTAACTTTATATATAATGACTTTTTGAATTTTTCTATTGCTAAATTAATTAGAAATTATAAGCGTTTCGATTTTCATGTAGTGGCAGTTAAAGAGAATTTACTATGCCATATCATGTCATGGGTGTTGTCAGAGGCGACAGAGGAAAACTGCATCAGATGGACAGCAGTAACTTCCCGATAACAGCTCAATAATATTAAAAAAAAAATACTGCGATTTTTAACTCACCTGCCATTATAATAAATAGTAAAAATTTGATTTTTTTCATATTATTATGATAGGTTTGTTAAAAGTAGAAATGTTGATTTTTATTCATAAAAATGCATTATAAAGAAGAATGGCAGACTCGTACATAAAATTAGTTGAAAAGGAATGGTAGCGTCTATATATCAAAAATATCCTAAAATATTAAGCGTCAGTCCCTTAATAACTCTGTCAAAGAACTTTGTCCTGAGAAGGCGTCAAAAGAAAAAGATATTTTGATTTGAACGTTTTTAGGTTATGTCTTATATCACTTGGAAAAAGTCATGCGTCTTGTGGTTGTTTGATGTGAGCTTAATACATTCTCAACATAATGTACCTACCTACATAAATGAGAGTTTTTAGATTATTATATCTCTATTATATATTTGCATATTATAAATGTATATTTCTGGCATGGCTCCAGGGCCTTTGTGTCATACAGCGACATTCTCAGAAGGGCTAGAACCCGGAGCCGTAAAGCCAGTAAAAAAAAACAGAGATTTTGTTTTAGCTAGTGTTGCCATAACATTAAATGGAATTGTTACATAGTACTATGATTGAGATAATGTATTATTATAGGAAGTTCTTTGTAAGAGACTTATTTTCAACCATATCACTTTTATTTTCATTATAACTGATAGTATAGTTATTACTAATAACTTAATTTAAAAATATTTTGTGTTTGTATGTTGTGTTGGTAGTCTTACAAAGTTATACGAAAATAGTATGAATATAGTAAATGGCAACACTTGAATAGAGTTAAGGGGAGTTTTGGCGGGAACTTGATCGGCGGCGCTTTGCTGCTCCTGTATTATAGTTTAAATAATAGTTTAAAGTGGATTTTGATATGTAAAAGTGGTGCGATTTTATGTATTAACTGTCTACGCATGTGAACTATTAATGGAAACGGTGAAACAAGTGCTCTGATGGTGATAGATTCTCAAGATAAGCTGTTTGTCTGCATAGGCGCCTTTAGATACCATCGCCAACTGTCAGCTGTCTGCTGGCTCAAGTTGCCGTCACAATCTCCCAAGGGCTGCACAATGTGACGCATCAACATATTGCGAAGCAGTGAACTATGAAGGATAATTATATATTTGGGGAAATTATAATAAACCGAATAAAAATACTCAAGATATGGCCTAAAAAAATGATTTAAGTCATTTGACATTCCCAAAAATGTTTGTGCTTTTCTGTGACTTTAATTAAAATACATTGTTATTTGAAAAATTATAGAAAAATAATAAAACTCATTTTATATATAACTTATCTCTAGACTAAAAAATTTTTGTCAACAATTTTTCTGCCATTGTTCTTTTAAAATTAAATTTAAATTTTTTTAATCTATGCCTAAAATCTCCAAAACGCTATCCGCCATATTAGATTCCGTCGTGACGTCACTGATAAAGTAAACAAGCTTGCTGTGTTATTTCGAAAATTTTCAAGTTATCATCACAATTGTTGACTTTTATTCTATATTTTATTAAAATGGCATTATCGGAATGGAAGATCGGTAAAAGCAGAAAGTACTAATCTACCAAAGATACGTTTTTTGTTCTGCCGAATTGAGGAATATTGAACCATCAATGTAAATACCTATTAACAACTTTAGTTTATACAATAACACAATACCAGGTCAGTCAGGTTAGCGTCTTTTGATAATACATAGTTATGTTTATCTATGATTAGAACCATTAGCAATCATTAGATAACTTAACCTCTCACCAAATTTGACTTGCAATACCTATCACCTCATGATGGTTTTGTTTTGTATAACCGATAGTTATTTATAAGTCGTACTTACGTCAAAGTAATCTTCACAGAAATATAGTCCAGTTTTTGTAGAAAATGTCCAAGTATTTTTCATATTTAAATCAGTTGGCACTTAATTTTATAACTTCCCGGGCGTTTTTATGCTCGTATTTTTGCATTCAGGCACAACACAGCAATAATAAAGATGTTAACTCATTATTAAACATGCAAAATATTTTATTCCTTTGCAAAATCGTTTTAATTTACTAAAGCAGTGACGTCGTGAGCTGAACAGCATGGCGGCTGGCGTTTTCGCGCGAAAATTTAACACGGTAAATTAAAAGTAATTTTTATGATATAGTAATTCGGTTTTAAAAAATTATATAAAAATTATATAGTTTATTATCATCACTCTAGGGTTAATTTAAAACCTGTATTGTAAGTTATATCTATATGATAGTGAAAACTTGTTTTGCTTACTCATTGTCGGGTGTCAAGTGAACCGGCTCGTCGGTGAACTCAGGCGGGAAGTTGGCCAGGTCGCGTTCTCCTTCCAATCGCGGCTTGAACGGCGGGACCACTTGCTTCTGCTCCAACTGTAAACAAAAGGTTTTCGTGAAATCTTTTGAGCTTCATAATTTATATGATATTATAGAGGCTTACTAATAATAACTAGAAAATAAAAAAACTGTGGTAGGCCAGGGTTGCCTAGGCCTGCCAAGCGTAGCAACTTTGGCAATTATAAGGCAATTTATAGGGTGGCTTAAGTTCAGCAGTGGATTTTGCTTGCCAACGATTAACGAATTCCTAATGATTTCTCCGTGATCTACTACACGTTGAATAAACGTTTAGTTTTTAGCTTTTTTTTAACTCTTGACGTTTTGGGCTCTTTAAATCAGCCACGGTCAGTCAGTCTCTGAAAATGGGTGCTGTAAAGTGCCTTTACTAAATTATTAAGTGGCTTTTTTCTTTCTTCCAGTCTGATACACGATTTTTAGTAGAAAAGCGCTCTCATTATATAAAAAAATATTATCTCAGGTTGGTTGAGGTTATTTTTAAAAACCACTGACTGACACTGAACTGAGCGGTGCCTTCCTGAACGGTTTAACCTTGATCTATGACTACACGTTACCGTTCATTTGCAAGAAAAACATCAAACTTTGGTGCTTTGCACTCCACAAAACTGTCAGTTTTGCGTCAAACTTTAAGATTTGTTGCTGTTTTCGTTCGCACTGAATAAAAATTTATACGGGTAACTTTTTTACCATCTGGAAAATAATATGGTGTTTTTTGTAAGTGGAATAGAAACTATCCTCGAAAGTATTTGCAAAATATAATTGATAGGCAAAATTGCTGAAATCCAAAAAAATACATAAAAGCAATTCATCCTACGGCATTTCCGTTAAAGTAAAACTACAAATAGGTGATATTATTTTAAACGGCGTAGGCTATCGCAGGTGAATGAAAGTTGTAGGGCGAGCGAGACACATGCACATTTCTTTCATTCTTTCGGCATACATCATCGTTACATTCGTGCCGCCGAATATACCCGAACCCATTCCAGCCGGAACCGAAAACCTTTCGTTTCAGATTATTATTTTTGTGATTTAGATCTTTCCTTCATACTTTTACAGGCTAATTACATACATGTTAAATTTTATATTACATTATAATGAATTCATATTTCTAATAATAATTTTTATGCCTACCGTATACTGCAACATCTTAGGCGTATTTAAAAGATCGAAATCAACTTACTTACAAACTACACTGATTAATATTTACAAAATTATACTACTTTATTGTTATTTACAAAAAAATTACCTTTTTAACGATATCGTAGTAATTGTTTAAAACTTTCTAAACACAAACAAGCACGTCTTTGTATTATTGTTTCTTAAACATTCACCAAGAGTCTCTAGTATATATACAGTAATCTATGACTAACACTTTGTGCTTCTTCTGTGTACACTAATCGTTTTAGTTCAGCCCACAAATAAAAGTCTAGAGGTTTTAGGTCTGGTAATCTCGCCGGTCATTTCACAGGTCAACCGCGACCACTTATCACCGATTTAGCTGTCTTGTCGAATTGATTGTGCACATTGTAAATTTCAACGCGGGTAAATATTGACTCGTCGCACCATCTAAGTTTTCAGCAGATAAGACATAAAATCTCACCACTGCTAGGTACTCAACATTGGAGAATTGCGTTACATATTCATTATTTTATTGCCGCTCGTAAAGTAGGGTGCGTATGATTTGAATTTCGATAGTTTTAATTGATTTGTTCATTTATTTCAAAACTGTTGTTTCTATTTTTTTAGACTTAGGGACCTTCAAGAAAAGAGCCTACTCCTTTTTAAAAGGCCGGCAACGCATCTGCAATTCCCCTGGTGTTGCGGTTGTTCATGGGCGGCGGTAGTCACTTACCATCAGGTGAGCCGCATGCTCGTTTGCCCCCTCTCCTATAAAAAAAAAAAAAAAAAAAAAAAAAAAAGTATGGAAAATTTACTTCAGATTAATAGTATTTATTGATAGATCTATTACATAATCTATTTTTTTTAATTGTAAAATATCAGTGGCATAGGCATTCTACTCCTTTCACCTGTTGTTAAACCCTATATTTTTCCAGACGGTAAAAAAGTGAGCCAGTATAATGTATATGTTTGACATAGGGTTTGTCAAGCTTTACGTTCGCACTGTCGCTTGATTTGTCTCGCAATTTGTGCATGCTTTTGATGTTATCCAAAAAGGTTGGTAAACATAAAGTTGGTAAAAATAAATTATTTCAAATATATAGGTAGCTGGCACTATTTCTATATATAAAATGAACGTTTCTTTGTCCCGTACGTATTCCTATACCACTTATCCAATTACGTACGATTTCATTTAGTGAGTTGTTGTGTGCTCGCCTGCGAATGTGTCTGAAAAAATTTAACATTAGTTTGTATATTTGTTCGTTTTATATGCGTTTCTATACCCACCATTCACCTGAGAACGGTGAAAATTCGGTGAGTGGTTTTGCGCATGCCAGTGAATGCTTCTGCCAAAAAAATGTATTGCAACGCATAGCGGGCACAGCTAGTTTAATGAAATAAAATAAAGAAATATAATATAAAGCAGAGGTACGGACGCTTTCAATCTTGTTTTATTTTTTTGCCGACTTCCAAAAAGGAGACCGTACTCAATTCGACTGTATGTTTTTTTTAGTTTTTTTTTTATGTGTATAACTTTTTACTGGGTGAACCGATTTCGATGATTCTTATTTTATTTGAAAGCTGGTACTTCTCGTATAGTCCCATATGAATTTGATCAAGCTCAGACCAATAGTTTTTGAATTATTCTTAATAACTTATATTGTTAAGAAAAGAATTTTAAATAATCTTTATAATTCGGACAACTTCTTTTTAATCCCGTAATAGAAAATAAATTAAATGTATAAAGTTAAAAACAATAATTTAATGATGTTTAGTATAACATTACATATGATATTAATTGTATATGTTCCAAGCAGTTTTCTATTTAACACATATTGAATGATTTGTGTCGAAATCTTTTGGGTTTCGAAACTTGTTGAAAAACATTTTTTGTTTATGAAATGTTAAACGTGTTTCAACATAATAATGTTTGACAGTGCAAACCAAATATGATACATTGTCAAAAAACAGAATTTAAAACATATTTTTAGGTGAATGTTTCACCAGTGCAAACTAACGGTTAGGTAAATAAGTTTCTCACCATTTCCCACTCGATGCTCTTGAAGAAGGGGTGGTTGACTATATCGAGGAAGCCGCCCTCACCACAGCCGAGCCTTTCCACCGGGTTTTTGTTGAGGAAACCTTTCAGCACCGAGGCGGCCTTCACCGACAGCGATCGCGGGATACGGATCGTCTTCTCTAGGATCACCTGGAATAGACATTCGCAGTGTGAGGACAGCATTCGTATATTGTCGTCAAAGGCAGCAATGAGTAGTATGGTTCAGAGCTGTGCTGAACACTGTGGGGTAGGTGGTAGCCTGAAAGAACACGTAGCGTTATTCCAATGCTGCGATGGACCTTGTAAAGCTGGCTTGCAGATTTGCAGTTTGGAGAGTGAATGGAGGGGGTTCTTGAAGACGATGACGAAAGCTTAATTACCACCATGTTCGGCTGCATCACCACTTACTACCAGGTCCGAAAGTAGTGTATCACTGACTTGACTTGAAATTCTAATAGTATGATTTAGGCAGCGCCGCTATAATTTTAAGATAAGCCTATTTTTATAAAAGATGACTGCTGGTCGAGGTCATGGGAGAAAGATCCTTGGAAGAGTTAGTATATTCCAGTGAGAATTTGAGCATAGACCTAGAAAAGGCAGTCCTCGGTGTTCTATCTTGGAGTTTTTAGACCTGGAAGAAGCAGTTAGAGTAGGGTTCCGGTGGTACAGACCTGGAAGAGGTAGTCCTCGGTGTTCTGGTCGGGGTTATCTGCGGCCTGCGCGATGTCGAAGGGCGAGCGGCCGGCCAGCATCTCGTAGGTGAGCACGCCCAGCGCCCACCAGTCCACGGAGAAGCCGTACTCCTCGCCGCGCAGGATCTCCGGCGCGATGTAGTTGGGCGTGCCGCAGAACGTCGACGTTGTGTCGCCGGGACGCACGCCCTCCTGCCGAACACACGGGAAAGCAGTTCAATGCTGAGCGGAACCAACTTTGTCGATGCAAGTTCACCGAGTTTAAGGAAAATGTATAATACGAATACCTCATATTTTGTATGATACATTTTCCTTAAACTCGGTGAACATACAAATTATGATGTATTCGTATTAACACCAGGTTCGACCTAAATATAATCGTAAATTTTACACATGACTTTCACGCTCGAAAATTTATACTTCTTGAAATAGTATACCTACGTTCGGAAAAATATGCTCATACATGAAATATTCAATTAAATAGTATAAAAAATATAAAATAAATTATAATTTAACTGTCGGGAAAAAAATTTACGATTGAATTTTCGTATTTTTAAACGATAACCATATAATATTTTTCGAATATGAAAGGCATGTAAATTTTTTTATATTTTGCTTTTTAAAAGATTCGAATTTAAATTAGCGATAAAGAACTATACATGTTGTAATGCAATAAAGATAACTTCATAATTCTTTGGATATACGTAAAAGGTTATTTTAGATCGTGTGAGTGCGCTTGTACAAAGTTATTGCGGTATGATTAAGTTGAATGTCAAAAGGTATTTCTTAGATTTGGTTGAGTATAAATAAACACCAGGACCGACGACGGACAGCAGTGTCAGAGATGTGAGACGTATGTGCCCGATCGCCAATCTATAATAGCAAATCCTCCCTTCTCAAGGAGAACTGAAAGGAGATTGAGCCTTGTCCGGTAATGGGATTTTATATGATAACGATTTTATATGAAAATGGCAATCAAAATATATTAAAATAAGAGCAGTATGTGTGTCTACGTCAGACTGTGATTGAGCATGTGAGTGTGTCAATGGTACAGTGTGAGCGCGTGAGTGTTGTATGTGGTGAGCGTGGAATTTTGTCTGTGTCAAGCTTAACTCTATGTTTGTGTAACTCTAGACCGAGTTAAGACTAGAACCTGTGTGTGATCTTGTATCTACCTTGCACATGCCGTAGTCAGTGAGTTTGATGTGTCCGTCGTGGTCGAGCAGCACATTGTCCAGCTTGAGGTCGCGGTAGATGACGCCACGCTCGTGCAGGAAATGTAGCGCGAGTGAAATCTCCGCCGCGTAGAAACGAGCGTGCTCTTCCGGCAGCCGCCGTTGCCGCTGCATATGGAACCTTAATAACAATACTCAACATTATTGATATACGATTAGAATTTATTTTTCGTAGCGTGATTTAGGCTTCGTTGCGTTTCGCTTGTGGCGCGAAGGCCGCGCAAAGCACTCTTTTATTTAGGAGTAATTTAAGGCTTGGACAGCCGATATGATGCCGATGATGAATGGGCGATTTAGTTAGATGCAATGTAGATTTTATAGAATAGCAAGCGGATGACAAACGAGCACACAATCCACATAGACATCTACATATATTCTCAATAAAGAATCAAAATGCAGATGCGTTGTCACCCGTAAGGACTAAGATGGAATGCTTCGTTTCCAGTAAAAAGAGTCTCCGGTTCTCTACACTTGCCATACGTTAAGGTGGATGCTTCGCTAGCCCGCCCATACATTTTTGTCTGAAATTTACGCTACACACAGACACTATTTGTTTAAAACTAATCATTTTATCACTTGTCTACACTAAAATGTGTACGCCGTTGACCTTTTTATGAAAGAACTTAAAGTATAAGAAAAACAATATTGAAATCTAGGAAAATTTTGACACTTCTTTAGTAGTGTGAGTGAATTTTGACAACTTTGAGAAGCAAAAGGGCCAAAGGCATAGTTTAGACATTGGTACGCTAGATGGCGTGCAGAAGATATTATAATTATTATAAATCAATATCTTATATACAAAATTAATTTATTTGCTTTCCTACCGTTCATTAAAAAAAGAAACAATATAATAACATAAATCTGACGACCTTTGACAGCAATTTTATTTTTGTTGATGGGAAACCATTATTCGTGCAACGATGCCGTCCTTCGTAACCTTGACCTAGTGCCATACGTTGAAAGAAGGGTAATTTCATAGTACGCGAGCAACCCGGGTTCGATCCCTGCCGGTGCCAATAAAATTGTTAATTGCACCGCGACCGACATTTTCTTGTCCTAAAATTAATGTAATAAAAAAATAATCAACAAGTCAAATGTTTTTTGTTTTAATTGTATTTTTGTAGTAGTTTGTTTAGGAATCTACATTACCGATGTATATTTCTTTTTATTTTGTATTTACTATAAAATCAAAGGGTGGAATAATACTTTATTAGGTATGTATAACCACCTACTCAAGTCAATAAGCTGCTGTTCAGATTTTTGTTTTACTAAAAGCTTTTGTAGTTGTGATTGCTTTGAAATTAGGAAATATTTTTTCACCTTCCTGGTTATTATCGCATACTAAATCGTGTTTAAGATTTGTTGTTATCTCTTTCTTATGAATAGTTTCTTACGTGTTATGTAATGTCAAATTTTCGTAATAATTGGTTAAGTTGCAAATCATCTGTGTTATTAGTTTTGAGTGAATAGGCATGTATCAGGCGTGTTACTGCAAATACTTGTTTTGATCAATAATTTCAATAGTGTAAGGTTATAAAATAAAACTGCGTTTTATTGTTCTTAGTGTTGACATAATTTATTTCCCAAAATTATTATTGAATTAAATAGTTTAGAATCTAGCTTCATTCACGCCATCTAGTGTTCAATTTTCGTAAATGTAGGGACATAGAGTTCAGCAACGTCTGTGTGTATAAACGACACTATATTCAATGACAGATGTTATTTTAGGGCTTTGCGTCGAATTGTGTGGATTTTGAGGCAATGATATGACCTAGTACAGTAAAGTATAATGTCGGAGTACCGCGGTAGCTACTTCTACTACTTAATAACGTTCCAATTACACAAAAACCTAAATAAACCAAAATTATGACTTCTGCGCCATCTCGCTGGAAATCGGCCGAGAACAGTCCGTATGTTTCACCTTAAGTCCACCAACTCGACTTGAGGTAGCGCTGAGGATTTTATTTCTAAAACCATTTTAAAAATGAAAAGTGGCCTATGCCCAAATGTGGAACGTCCTATATTGGCTTTTGCTTTACGCTATCAACATTTGAAATTCTTTAGTAATTCCAAAATTTATTTAAGACAGTTGAATTTTCAAAAATGGGACCATAATATTATAACGAACAACGTGAGGGGCAGGTAAGGAACTCACATGAGGTCACCGCCGCGTACGAATTCGATGACGAAGAACAGTCGGCTGGGCGTCTGGAAGCAGGAGTGCAGGCCGACGAGGAACGGGTGGTTGGAGGCGGTCTCGAACACGTGTTTCTCCGTCTGCACCCAGTCGATGTCCTCGTCGTCCGTCACCAGCGCCTTCTTGATCACCTTCATTGCGTACACGCGCTTCGTGCGCTTCAACTCCACCATAAGTACCTGCAAGTTTTTTTTTAATAGAAGTGGGGGCAATCGAGCATGCTGAAGGTGATTCACCTGATGATAAGTGACTACCGCCGTCCATGAACAACTGCAACATCACGGGAATTGCAGGATAACATAGAACACAGATTAAAGTTTATGCATAGCTTCAGCAACTTATCGGCGAAAAAATACTTATTTATCTGTAGAATAAAAGAAATATTGAGGAAATATATGACGTCCGCCATCATTCACTGGACTAGTGTTAACTTAAGAAACGATCGGAAGATGTTACTCGTATCTGCAGTGGTAGACGTAAGTCGTTTCGTCAACTTTTTTTAGTGTTAATAGAATATTTAGTAGTTGTATCGCTAACTACATATTTTTTATACCCCTAATAACAGTAAGACATTTAAAAGAAATATTATACTATAGTAGGTTTGGCAATCCTAGATGGGGCACCTGTATGGGTGCTTGTTCAAAGCCCTTTCAAAAAGCACATACCTTAGCGTATGAGCCGCGTCCGATAACCCGTATGAGCTCGAAGTCCTCGAGCGAGTACTGCCGCTGCGAGCCAGGCTCCAGGTCCTCGGGCCGCACGGGCGCGGGCGGCGCAGGCGGAGTCTCTGGCAGCGGCTCGGGCTCCGCTCGAGACCTGCAAACACAATCGTTATATGTTTTCATAGAAGTAAGATGGACAAAGGGAAACACAGTCCACCCGCTGGTAAGTGGATGCCGTGGCCTATAAACATCTGCATCTATCCTCGACTAATAATTAAAAAATATTGTGTTGACACCCACGAGGATTAAGATGAAATGCCTCGTTAATATTTAAAAGGGTCTCCGGTATTCGTCACTCCCATACGGAGCACAGCAGTATTATGCTGATATGTTGGTGTTCTCTGCAAGCGTGGTTTTCACCCCCGGTTGGGTTAACTTATTTATGCTGTAGCTATATTAGGGAGAAAGAAAACTCGTTTATAATTATAAAAACTTAAAGTGAAAAGAAAATATAAAAAGTAATTAATAGGGAAATGACAAATAAACCAAAATAAATAAATAAATAACCTACAGCGTAAATATAAAATACACTTAAAAAACTTGGACTGCAGTATGAAACTGCAAAATGGACCGGTCTCCTTGATAGCACCGGTTTTTATGTCCATTTCGCTTATTTTATGTCATTAGTTTCACTACGCTGCAATGTGGCTCTACCTTGTTAATAAACTTTCTTGTCACCTAAATTACAAATGGTTGCAGACGATAAATATTGACTACACTGTTCCTTAAAAAATACATATTATTATACGACTAACGAAGTAGAGCCAAGCTGCAGCTATATTTGCAGTACGAATGAATCGACTCGACCGGGGAATGACAACGCTCACGCTCTTACAGAATACCCGCGTAAAAGTGCAGCTTGAATGGTGAAGTTATATGGTGAGTGTACAGAACCCGGACTCTTTTATTGCCATCGAGGCAATACACCAACATTTCGATTTTTTTAATAGAATAAGGGTGACAAACGAACACGCAGTCCACCTGATGGTAAGTGGTTGCTGCGGCCCATAGACATCTACATGTATCTTCGTTTGCGAATTAAAATGCAGATGCGTTTTCACCCGTGAGGACTAAGATGGAATGCCTCGTTTCCAGTAAAAAGGGTCTCCGGTTCTCTACACTCACCATACGAAACACAGCAGTATCAAACTGCCATTTTACGCTGGTATTCTGTGAGAGCGTGGTCCTACCCCAGTTGAGCTGACCCAATTATGCTATAACTATACTACTAATATAGCTACAGCATGACTCTATCGCGTATTTTAATTTATATGTATATTAATATTATTCGAGAATAGTTGTAGGTGTATATGGGCCTCAGCGCCCACTTACCGTCAGATGAACTATGTGCTCGTTTGTCACCCTCATTATATAAAAAAAGACTCGACTACTCAAAGATGTGTAGATTCTGTTCCATAGTGGATGAAATATCCCTATATATTCCAACTGTATTAGAACCTGTATTAGATGCAACGTTAGACGGAGTTTGTATTACTAAGTTCAGAGGAAGTAAAAGTACGCACAGATAAGAAACTTCTGCAATTCATTGTGAATGAAAGACTTAGAGATGAACTTTAGTCTCAGCATAGATCACATCATTATCTACACGCTCATATTAAAATAATATAATAATCGAAATTGACGCGGTCAAGAATTATTCGTCTATATGTCGTGCGTACGCCTTTGCGAATTGAAGAGTTTGATGCTTTTCTTATGGATCCCATCATCAGACCTTGACCAATTTTAAATGGAACTAACTGTAAGGTAGCTACCACCAATAAAACAAAAAGAAACATCATTGAAATTGGACAACATGGTAAAGAATTATCGTTGAATATTCATAAAAAAATATTCCGACGAATTAACAACCGTCCATTCTTCTTCAAATAATTCTTAAAGTCTGTTGAAAAGAGGTCTAATTATATAACTATAAGCTAACAATAAGTATATTGACCATCGGTTACGTGATATACGCAGTCGTGTGGTTACTGATGCAAAAGCGTCATCAAATTTTCGGTTTTATACATATAATACATACATAAACACTCACGCCTGTCACCCAGAGGGGTAGGCAGAGATTATGGACTTCCATTTGGCACGATCCTGACACACCTCTCTCGCTTCCTCCACATCCATATACCTACGCATACACGCTCGTCGGTTAAAGGTACTCTTGATTTGGCCCATTTTTAATATATCGCCAATTTGGTCGATAAACTTTCGCCTAGGGCGACCCTTCCCGACTATGCCGTATTTTCGGTTTTATATTCATAAATATTGTAACGCGCATTACGAAACAAACTGTTAGGGAAGAAATGTTCATGACTGACATTCTCGTAATGAAATCGCAAGATTAAAAAATAAAATAAAATTAAGAAAACCTTTAATGGACTTGTGAAGGGCTGCAATAATGACGATGAAAATAAAATTCTGACCATGTACCATAATACTAGAAGATATTCATTTTTATTCTACTGTATGTATTGCTTTTTGTATGCAAATATGTTCCCTATGTATAATATGTTCCCAAGCGATATCTTTGCCGATTGTAAGCCGATTTAAATGATTCCTCATTTTTATTGAATATAACACCTTGGTAACTTTCACAACGACTACACTTTCACAATACAATGAGAAATTTGCAACTAGGTACGTCGGAAATTACTACATGATTTGGACTATAGTCTAATTCTATGCTCTCAAATATATATTCGTACCAACTTACAAGTGTTCAATGTAAAACTCATCTGATAAATCGGAGGCAGAAGTTTTCATATTAGTTTTATCCAAAATTTGAAAATCAATAATTTTTATTGTATTACGGCTGATATGAACCCAAGTTCCAGCAGCTAAAGACCCTGATTACTAAGTCACACAGTTGTCATTTCAGTATAATGTTCAACTATAATTAAAATTTACCTGACGGAGGATGCTCGACCCAACGTGCTCTCGCCATTTGCGTCCTCTTTGACTTCGACAGGATCGACGTGTTCATTGGAGCAAGGCTTTTGGACGAGTTTATGGCATTTCTTGTGCACAAGTAGCTTACACTGGATGCACTTGAAGCCCTGCCGGCCCAGACCCCAGATTCGGTCTTGACAGAAGGCACAAAATGCGCGCTGGAAGAACACAGATAAAATATGAAATCATTTTGTATCTATTTATTCTGTATTAAAATATGGCAAAGGTTTCGTTCATATTTTTTATAATACTCCATAAAAACAATCTACAGTCCGCTTGATGCTAAGTGTTGATGTTAGACCATACTCAGCACAATCTAATAGGTAAGATTTAATTAGTTGTTAGAGCATTGAGTTCGGTTCGAAAATTCGGTTGGATGCGGGAAACGATTCTGGATTTTATTATTTTATACTTAATGATTATTTTATACTAGCTGGTACCCGTTGCGTTGCTGCCACAGAAGAAATAATTGTGGAAATATCGTTTTAAATTTGGAAGAGTTATAATATTATTATAGTAGTTATTGTAATAATTGTTTGAAATTGAATGATATATAACTTTCAAATAATTTTGTCGGTACGATACGCGCGCCAAGTAATTTAAGTTAATTGTACTATGCCTATAACCATCACGCAAGTGCAAGCAATAAGTTGACAAAGTTTTAGCGCAATCTGATGAGCGGTATGGCAGCGCTAAAATACGAACAAACATTAATTTTCATATATTATATATAACTTGCAATCGTTTCGTATTGACGAGAATTACAATTCAAAGTTATATTGTAATTTATTCGCACAATTCATATTATTATAATTAAACTAAAAAGAAATTACACATATCATCATCATCATCATTACAGCCCTTCACAAGTCCACTGCTGACCATAGGCCTCCCCCAAGGAATGCCACAAAGCACGGTCCTGAGTCACCTGCATCCATCGACTTCCTGCATGTCTCACCAGGTCGTCATTCCATCTAGTGGGGGGTCGCCCTACACTTCGCCTACTGGTACGAAGCTGCCACTCGAGAACCTTTCTTCCCCATCGGTTGTCGGTTCTTCGAGCTATATGGCCGGCCCACTGCTACTTCAGCTTACTAATCCGTTGGGCTATGTCGATTACTCTGATTCTACTGCGGATATCCTCATTTCAAAGTTTATCACGCAGAGACACCCCGAGCATAGCCCTCTCCATAGCTCGCTGAGCGACCTTGAGCTTCCTCATACGGCCAGCAGTGAAGGACCACGTCACAGATCCGTAAGTCATCTCTGGCAACACGCACTGGTTGTACAATTTCGTTTTCAGGTTTTGAGGTATGTCTAACGAGAAGATGTTTCGTAGTTTCCCGAAGGCTGCCCAGCCGAGTTGAATCCGTCGATTGACCTCTCGGTCGAAGTTGGACTTACCTAGTCGGACTATTTGTCCCAGGTAAACATACTCGTCAACAACTTTGAGCTTAGTGCTCCCAACAACTACCGGCATAGGTTACGTTAAACATGATCTTTGTTTTGTCCATGTTCATCTTAAGATCTATGCGTTGGGAGACACTATTGATGTCATTGAGCATAATGCTTAGGTCCTCCAGCGATTCTGCCATAAGGACTATATCGTCCGCAAATCGAAGGTGAGTGATGTACTCGCCATTGATGTTGATACCGTATCCTTTCCAGTCCAGAAGATTGAAAACGTCTTCCAATGCAGCAGTGAAGAGTTTCGGGGATATAACGTCACCCTGTCTTACACCTCTCTGCAATTGGATAGGTTTCGTACTCTGATTCTGTACTCGGATAGCCATCGTAGCTCTACTGTACAAACACTTCAGCACTTCGATATACCGACAGTCAATTTGGCACCGCTGAAGGGACTGCAGCACCGCCCAAATTTCGACGGAATCAAAGGCTTTCTCATAGTCTACATACGCAAGGCAAAGTGGCAGATTATACTCCTCTGTCTTCTGTACAATCTGCCGCAGGGTATGTATGAGGTCCATGGTACTAAAGCCTTTTCGGAAACCGGCTTGTTCGGGAGGCTGGAAGTCGTCAAGTCTGCGTGTGAGACGATTCGTAATAACTCTCGAAAACAGCATGTAGACGCGGCTCAGAAGGGAAATCGGTCTGTAGTTCTTCTAGAGAGCGTTGTCGCCTTTCTTGAAGCACAAGACCACCGCACTTCTGCTCCACGCCTCCGGAGTAGTGCCACCATGGAAGACAGAATTAAAGAGCTTCTGAAGGACTTCAAGTACCGGTTTTCCATCCGCTTTCAAAAGTTCCGCTGTAATTCCGTCCTCGCCCGGGGACTTGCCGTTTTTAAGGTGCTGGAGAGCCATTCTAATCTCGCTCAGACTGACGTCCGGGATATCTTCGGAATAGTGTTGGGTAAGACTCGCTATTGGATCGTTACTCACACTTGCGTGTGGCTCCAACGATGACGTGTACAGCTGCCCATAGCTGCTGCCACATTCGGTCTTCAGCTTTGACAGTTGGCTCTTTCTGGCACACAAATCTCTGACAGACTTTGGAGCCTTGGTTCCGCTCGATCGCTTCTTCAATACAGGCTGTATTGAAGTTGCGTAAGTCCCGCCGCATGCATTTGGAGATCTGTCTGTTCAGTTGCCTGTATGCTGTCAAATCTGTTGAAGAATGTAGCTTCATCTCCCGTCTAACAGCCGTAAGATTAAGAATGTGATCGGAGAGTTTTTGTGTTTTTCTGCGGCGGGTCTTGCAGAACTTAGCTCCGACCGCATGGACAGTTTCCACAAGCATGTCGTTCATATTATCACACGTTACACATATAACTTAAAATTATTATTTTGTTGTAAATACTACTGTGGCTAGTCGAATGAAATCTAAATTTTAAAAGGTTTGATTTTTAGAAAGAATCTAGTCTGAGTAAAAAGGCGGTACGAACTCCATTGTTTAATACTGTGGGATAGGTATATGAAATTCATGTTTTGTTCTAATAGTCTTAAATTTATGTTTGTATTCTTAATAAATTTAACTTTTCTACAGGATAAAAATACTATCACTATTAGTGCGATCACTCAAAAGTGCGAAGAAGAAACGTAAAAACTAAGACAAAGTTCTTCTGAGCTTGAATTTGCAAGTTCAATTCTGAATTTAAAGGTTTGAACTCAGTCTTTGTATAAAGATACAGCGGTAGAGGAAGGAAGCAAAGATTATAATACGAGTATATTTTCCCCGCACAAATATGAGTTACAAGAAATTATACTGTAATTTCTTATCTTTCCTATTATTAATTTTGATAGTGAAGTGATTCTGATTGGTTCACTAAAATTAGTCACCGTATCTATTAAAACATTTCGGTACTAAAAATAGGAAGAGAAAGGGGAAATTAATCCTAGGGTTTTTTTTTATTTTCTTTTTGTTTGATACGAAATTAATTGAATGCTAAGAGACAACACGTTAAAAATTCCATTTAGAAGTTTTTGCAATGGGTCAGATTTTGAGAAGTCAAAATTTAAAATACGCTCTTAAGGTTCTTAGAGACGGATAAGAATGTTTTAAAAATAAATTCAGTGAAAACTTTTGCGACTTGCATACCTCGAAAACAAATGACGATATCGACTCTTAACCAATTTCACTCCAAGCGTAATTGCATAGTGAATACCTGTATAATGTTTTCTTTAATATCAATTACTTTGTATTTAACAAAATATAATATAATTGAATTTATTAGTAGCTGACATTTGCTTATCGTTTAAACAATGAACCGAAGTGAAATTTGATACGTAAAAGTAGTGCAATTTTGTGGATAAAATATTTGTGCGTCAAGTGCTCCGATGAAGATTTAGACCTCAAGTTATTTTGACCTCTTATTAAGAGCTATAAGATACGATCGTCGTCGACTGTCTGCTGGCTTAAACTGTTAAAACCTCTTAAAAACATTGCGATGTGACGCATTTATAAATTGTGATGATATTTGTAAATTATATTTATATTTTGTACAACGTTTAACAGCGTTTGATGTATTCTTTTGGCTAAAGATCTTGTGAGTTAATACATAGGGCACACTGAACATTCTGCGCTTCTGGCCACTCTTAAATGCTTGAATTTCGAATGACATATTTATTGAAACCTCATTTATATATTGATTAAAATAATATTTTTCGAGAAGTCGCGTGTCAATTGTTATTATCGCAAGTTAAAGTTTGTCATCCGTCAAAACAAAGGAAAGAAGCGTGGGTAAAAAAAAATGATTGCGTTTTTTTTTTCTCCCAAACGGGTCCTGTCTGCACGATCCCACTTGATGAGTAAAAGGTAGTTAATGCTGAGTGTTGTAATGTTGAGTGGTGTCTTGAAAATAGTTAGAGAAAAACGACGAAGATGTCGCATCCTATTGCACTATTCCGAAGATATCCCGGATGTCAGTCTGAGCGAGATTAGGATGGCTCTCCAGCACCTTAAAAACGGTAAGGCCCCAGGCGAGGATGGAATTACAGCGGAGCTTCTGAAAGCGGGTGGAAGACCGGTACTTGAAGTCCTTCAGAAGCTTTTTAATTCCGTCCTCCATGGTGGCATTACACCGGAGGCGTGGAGCAGAAGTGCGGTGGTCTTGTTCTTCAAGAAAGGTGACAACGCTCTCTTGAAGAACTACAGACCGATTTCCCTTCTGAGCCGCGTCTACGTGCTGTTTTCGAGAGTCATTACGAATCGTCTCGCGCGCAGACTTGACGACTTCCAGCCTCCCGAACAAGCCGGTTTCCGAAAAGGCTTTAGCACCATAGACCACATACATACCCTTCGGCAAGTTGTACAGAAGTCCGAAGAGTACAATTTGCCACTATGTCTGGCGTATGTGGACTATGAGAAAGCCTTTGATTCCGTCGAAATTTGGGCGGTGCTGCAGTCCCTTCAGCGGTGCCAAGTTGACTGTCGGTATATCGAAGTGTTGAAGTGCTTGTACAGTAGGGCTACGATAGCTATCCGAGTACAGAACCAGAGTACGAAACCTATCCAATTGCAGAGAGGTGTAAGACAGGGTGACGTCATATCCCCGAAACTCTTCACCGCTGCATTGGAAGACGTTTTCAAGCTTCTGGACTGGAAAGGATACGGTATCAACATCAATGGCGAGTACATCACTCACCTTCGATTTGCCGACGATATAGTCCTTATGGCAGAATCGCTGGAGGACCTAAGCACTATGCTCAATGACCTCAATAGTGTTTCCCAACGGATAGGTCTTAAGATGAACATGGACAAAACTAAGATCATGTTTAATGTCCATGTCACACCTATGCCGATAGTTGTTGGGAACACTAAGCTCGAAGTTGTTGACGAGTATGTTTACCTGGGACAAATAGTCCGACTGGGTAAGTCCAACTTCGACCGAGAGGTCAATCGACGGATTCAACTCGGCTGGGCAGCGTTCGGGAAGCTACGACACATCTTCTCGTCAGACATGCCTCAAAACCTTAAAACGAAATTGTACAACCAGTGCGTGTTGCCAGTGATGACTTACGGAACTGAGACGTGGTCCTTCACTGCTGGCCGTATGAGGAAGCTCAAGGTCGCTCAGCGAGCTATGGAGAGGGCTATGCTCGGAGTTTCTCTGCGTGATAAACTTAGGAATGAGGATATCCGCAGTAGAACCAGAGTGACCGACATAGCCCAACGGATTAGTAAGCTGAAGTGGCAGTGGGCCGGCCATATAGCTCGAAGAACCGACAACCGATGGGGAAGAAAGGTTCTCGAGTGGCAGCCTCGTACCGGTAGGCGAAGTGTAGGGCGTCCCCCCACGAGATGGAGTGACGACCTGGTAAGACATGCAGGAAGTCGATGGATGCAGGTGGCTCAGGACCGTGTTTTGTGGCATTCTTTGGGGGAGGCCTATGTTCAGCAGTGGACTTGTGAAGGGCTGTAATGATGATGATTGCACCATGACCATGCTTCCGCCCATACCGCGGACAAGACAAAGTAATTTTTGGCTTCTGAAAAGGTAGAGCTCATGACACATCTCGCACACAATTCAATCCAATTTCAGTCCAAACATGGCATCATGCGATTTCTTTATTTTGATGAGAGGTTTGATATTTACGCAGACACAAGAGGTCGTGACAACTTTACAACCAGCGTGTGAAAAACATGAATGACTTCAGACCAATGGTCCTTAAGTTTATAAAAATGGTTTGAGCGAATGAAGAAGTGTTTAAAATGTAACCGAGAATACTTTGAAAAACAGTTAATATATTAGTTTAAATACAAATTGTTTTATTTATAGAGATATGCAAAACGTTCAGTGTAACCCACGTAGCACAGTAAAAAAACATGAGAACTTGATAGTGACTTATAGTACTGAATCGTATCAACATCTAATTACTTATGACGTATTTATAGAAGCCAGTTACTAATATTAAATGACCTTACTTATAATAAGTATAAATATTACTTATAATATCAAAGTATTAATTATCTCTATACCTGTTTCTTTCTATTGTTATTAAGTGAAGAGAGAGAAGGCAACTTGGATGTGTCTACTTGGAGTATGTCCCATAATGTATTAGATTTATTTGCTTTAGTTACTAAACCACAATATACTTACTCTATTAAACCGTTTTGCCTGGAAGATGTGTCCATTAACGCGGTACAGCTTCCGCCACCGCCTCGCACCTCTCCTGTATATGCTTCCTGTAACGTTAAAGCGTAGTGTAACTATACATGTACAGTACACATTTATACGTGGTAGAACTATGCTGCAGCTATATTAGATATGTAGTATGAATGGGTCAGCTCGACTGGATAAGAACATCGCTCTCACAGAATACCAGCGTAAAATAGCAGCTTAATTCTGCTGTGTTTCGTATAATGAATGTAGGGAACCGGATACCCATTTTACTGAATCTTAGACCTTAGGCGTGACTTCTTTTAATTAAATTCGATTTTCAATTTCAAATTTAAATTTAATTTACATAAAAATTTAAATTTAATTAATTTAAAATTAATTTCGAATCCGCATTTTGATATATCGACGATAGATTTAGAAGTCTATGGGCCACATAATCTATTTACCATCTACCATCAGGTGCACTGTGTGCTTGTTTGGCACCCTTATTTTACATAAAACAAACGCTCCATGTATACGGAACAAGTATTTGTATGGCCTACAAATAATTGTTCCGGATCTAGATGTTTGTCCTTGAGCAATGTATGTTTGTAAACTACCCCCACGATACAGGAGAAAATCCTAGTGTATAGGTTACGTTTCTTTTAAAAAAGAAAAAGAAAAAAAATTAACAGCCAGAGTTGTGGTAGCTTACGAGTTAATTAGTATTAAGTTTTATAAGCTTGACTGCTTTTTTTGTCAGTAAAAATTACTCATCGCTACGTCCTATGACATAATCCTCTTCTTTAGTAGCCCATAAAAGTCCACTGCTAGATATCGGCCTCTTTCGTTGTAAAGATGCGCCACGCTTGGCTTGGATTTACGATCGTAGTGGCAGGCGTCTTCTATTGACAACTATTGATGCTAGTACCTATCGCTTTGTGTATTCGTCTGGCGTAAATAAGATAATACCTCCAACTATCTGAAGCTATAAGATTAGCCCGACACGTAAATTTACGGCTTATGACGAATTAGCGCGATTTAGGACAAATTAGGGTGATGGATTCCTTTACACGGTACAGCCTTATAAAGTAGCGTACAGAAAGTAAGTAGTATATATAATATGGTAGCTTTTTCAAGTATGGTGGGAATTTTTTTACTTTTGATACGTAAGAAGAGCCATGGTAGCTCAAGGGTTAAGCGCTCGCTGTAAATTTCACAGTACGCGAGCACCCCGGGTTCGATCCCCACCAGCACCAATTAAATTGTTACTTGTAATTTTAAGTGCTAATTTACCACGCTGTAATTTTGGCGGTGAAGGAAAATATTGCGAGGAAACCTGTATGTCTGAGGAATAAGAAAAAAATATTTCGAAGACATGTGAAGTTCGCCAACACGCATTAGGGCAGCGCGGTGGACATTTCCTTGCCCTAAAATCTTCTCAGAAATGACAGGAGACCTGTGCCCAACAGTGGGACGTATGTAGTCTGTAACTTAAACTTTTAAAGAACAATATCATCAACGGAATGACAATACTTGAAAAACGGCCGTCGCTCTTGTCCCTCACCTCACCCGCTGTAGGCGATATTGAGTCAAGGTCTTCACGGGGCACGGGGATGCGAAAACAAGTGCTTTTGTTTATTAATTGAGTACTATTAATGTTTATTTTTGCCTTTGTATATGAACCCGTAGTCATGGCGATGACACACCGACGCCACCCTTCATTATATTGAATAACAAGCAAAAATCGCGTACGGGCCTTATTGCGACCGTACATACCGTACGTATTGGGGAGCCCGCTATTTCCACGACACCCATATAACATCTCAGGAAGGCAGCAGTCCTGACTTTGAAGTGAACTGAGTTTGCTAGAGCTGTCACGCTTGCTATTCGTGATGTCAAGCGGATTTTTTTGTAATTATTATAGAGCTGTTAATAGGAAGACGCTGCTGCCCATCTAAGCTGTCAGTTTCGTTCTGTCGGCTTACGACACCCATGGCATAATGAATTCTCTTAAGCCGCACACGGTACAAATTTAAATTTTATTTAATAATACACACAAATAATACTCTAGGAATTTTTTGTACACATACACAGTAATCTAGCAAAGAATTGGGTCACAATTAAAACATAAGAGAGCGGCGACGTACAACCGCAATATATTTTCATAAAGCGTTAATTGCTCCTTTACATTGCCTTGAGTTGTTTATTATGACGGTAATATTTTATGTTGAATTGAATTAATTATTAATTCAATTTACGAGAAACTCCAGTACTTTTATATTTACTTGACGCCTGAGAAAATTGTGACGCCATTTGGTATAAGTGTAACTGCTAAGACATGTGAGATCTAGATTCGAATCTAACAATGTTATTGTGCATTGAACAAAATATCGGTCTATGAACGGAAACAATAGTCGATGTTAGCTCAATGAGCTTATCATTTTAGGTAGGTTTTTTTTTATAGGATAATGTCACCCTTCCACCTTCCACCAACGAGCACACAGTCCACCTGATGGTAAGTGGTTGCTGCGGCCCATAGACATCTACTTCTATCCTCTGTTACAAATCAAAATGTAGATGCGTTGTCACCCGTGAGGACTAAGATGGAATGCCTCATTTCCAGTAAAAAGGGCCTCCGGCCACCTGCACTCACCAAGCGAAATGCAGAGGTAAACCTCTACTTCACGCTGGTTTTCTGTGAGGTCGTGGTACCTACTACCCCGGTTCGAGCCGGCCCATTCGTGCGACAGCAAAAGCTGCCGCGTGGCTCTACCACTGTTTATAAATTTGGTTCAGGTTTGTGGCCAAATGCTGGTCTATTTATGAATAACAAAATTGTTGAACGCAAGTTATACTACCATATTTAGTATCTCGTGCTATCAGCACTAGCAAAATTTTACCTTAAGATAATTTCAGATCATTCTGTCTAAAGTTTACACGCAAACTTTATAAATATTATTTTACTCGTCCACACCCACATGTAGGGTACTCCGTGTTAACGCTTACGCGAGCGCTTAGTGGAGAAAGGACTGGATGCAGTTTGAGAAACACGATGATAATGAAAACTAATTAAGGCACGGAAACCAACACCTTGTATTTTTGCACATTTGTAATTGCAAATTGTGTACAATCAAGTACTTAATGCCCATGCGCTCGCACGGACAAAATCTATCAAAAATACGTGCAGTTTATATATATATATATATATCATATAATTATCGATGCTATCTTAGGCGAAATTATTCGACCATGACACGAAATATGTACATACATATTATGTGAAGTGATTTCATCACGTCAGGGCTGTTTTTAGACTTCTTTGCTCGATGGAATACCGGAGGAAATATGGATATCCGTATCAGTAGACTAATAAGCTAAGTGGCATTGGAACGGCCATATAGCTCGAAGAAGCGACAATAATGGGAAAGAAAGTTTTCGAGTAGCAGCGTACTCGTACTGACAAGAGAGGTGTTAAGCGGCCGCCTACTAAATGAATGTCCTGATGGAACACGCAGGTAGTCGATAGGTGCAGGTGGTTCAGAACCACTCCTTGTGCCAATCTTTGGGGGATGCCTATGATAAGCAGTGGACTTGTGATGGGCTGTAGTAATATTATGTGATAGATTTCATCGCATCGAAAGATATCAAGCCTTTTATATAGCAACAATAACATTCATACATTGCTAGCTTCTTTAAAGCTAAGATTGTCACAGACTGGATCCCAAGAGACAACATCAAAAATACAGACCTTTTAAAAGGTGAACAGACGAATGGTACCAGTTGGAGGAGGCAGTACTTACATAAAATATTATTGGCAATTGTGAACTTTTTTTTATAATTTTTTTTATAGGATCAGGTGACAAACGAGCACACAGTCCACCTGATGGTAAGTGGTTACTGTGACCCATAGACATCTATATCTATCCTCAATAAAGACTCAAGATGCAGATGCGTTGTCACCCGTGAGGACTAAGATGGAATGCCTCTTTGCCAGTAAAAAGGGTCTCCGGTTCTCTACACTCACCATACGAAACACAGCAGCGTTAAGCTGCTATTTTACGCTGGTTTTCTGTGAGAGCGTGGTCCCTCCCCGGTCGAGCCGACCCATTCGTGCTACAACCATAATATAGCTGCAGCATGGCTTGTGCCCAGCTGTGGGTTGTGTAATCTGTAATTTAACTTTTTTACTTTAATGAAGGGAAGCAAAATGAGGCGATGACGTTCAGCGGACTAGTAACGGGGTTAGGACAATACATATTATTTGTTAGTTTTTCTTTTACTTATTTTTGTCTGGTATTTAAAATTGAATGAAAGAAATCTTCTTTGGTAATTTTTTTGTATATTTAAAATTGAATACTATATAACGATATTTTGTCTGCTGACTTACATTCCACAAAATGCCACGTAAAATGTACGCGAGACCGAAGCACCCCACTCAAAATTACAGGTTGAAAATTTTTATTTAAATCTATGTAATTTATAAGTTCATATTAAATCCAATCTGTTGCTAAAAAAATTAGGAGGTCAACACTCACGGTCCTCGCCCGCGCAGGGCATCCCAGGCGCCGCGGGAACATTCGGGAATACTGAAACAAGAGAATAACAACTTTAGTGATACGGAACAGAAAACATACGTGGATAAACCAAGCGGACGGAGCAAGCGTCCGACGGTTTCTTTTGTTTGCTTTGTAAAGTTGCACTTTGTTTTCACCGTAAGAAAAACTACATAAATGCTAAATTATCTAGTTATATTTGGACGAAATTCTAATTTTTACCTTTAACGTGTGTTATTTCTTAGCCTAATATTAAAAAATACAAACCGACTTACAAAAACAAAAAATAGACTTTAATGAAAAAATAAAAGCTAACTTGTATGAATTTAAAAGAATAATAATTTTCTTATAATAGCTTCAGGAGTCGACGTTAAAAAGTTTCAAAGGCCCGACTTCTGAAGCTATTATGTGGAAAATATATTTTAGCCAGTTTTTACTTTCTTTATTAAAAGTGTAATTTTTATCCATATCTTTATAACCAAATAAGATAAAATGAAAGGTGTATATTTTGGAGCTCAGTATAATTTTCTACGCCGATTTTTACCTCCTTATGATCACAAAGACTTCTGTGACCTTTATTTAACAAGTAAGTTCCATAAAAACGGACGTTATGATAGAACTTTAAAGGGCTTTTAACTTAAGTGTCCGGAATACAAAACCACGGCAAATTTTAAAGGGAAACGAGTATACTTATGTAGGAGCCACAGCCAATTAAGTTTCGGGTCGTTGGGAGCGGCGATTTCGAGGGTTTGTTAGGCAAAGTAAATTGTGTGGGTGTTTAAGAAAAGAACGTTATGGTTATGACCACTGTGGGGACCGGCTAATAAACGATGGACGAAAAGAAAATGCAAACGTGAATTTTCTCTACGAATTAAAGTATCTGACCACTCTTTAGGGAGGAATTAGTACAATCGCTACGCTTGGCATTGGCGGGCGTACGGGTAATCGCAGTATCAGACGTCGTGGCCTTTTGCCTCTGCCTTTCTGCCATCGGTCTGGGTATTTTACGGCTGGCATATAACAAATGGTTTTATCACCATCGAGCGGATTCACATTAAAAGAAACTGTCCGTAAAATATAAGGTAAAAAAATAAACTGCATCTAACGGCGTAAAACTGAAATTTACTGAAAATGAAAATTGTTTTTTTTGTTTTCTTTTAGATTAAAATCGCTAACTGTCTTTTAGAGTTCCGTAGTCATATGTATATGGAACTATTATACTTTTCCTGCCCTTCTATCCTCATAGCATCGTCAAATTATACATTATCATTACATATGATCTAATAAAAAAAAACTTTTCAACTTTTTTCAGTTCCCTTTAACGAGTGGGATATCAATAAGAACGTATAAACAATTGATCCTCCGTAAATTAACGGAAGCAATCACGCTGTGTCCTTTTTGTAAGCCCTTAAAAATAATAACTGAAAAATTAGCACTTACTAAAAATGATTGAACTTTGGAACGGACAAAAGTTTTAATTTTAGATGATGATGACGTAAAACACAGTCCGTGAACATAGCTGCTGTAAAGCGCCTGAAACGTCGGGAATTGAAAAAAACAAACGCGATAAAATCCGTGAAATTAGTTTCATTTAATGTCTAAATAAAATCGCGTAAATATACGAAATCATTTTAGAGAAGGTACTCTTGATATGGCCCATTTTTAATATATCGCCAATTTGGTCGATAAACTTTCGCCTAGGGGGAAATACATATCAAGAGTACCTTTAACCGACGAGCGTGTATGCGTAGGTATATTGATGTGGAGGAAGCGAGAGAGGTGTGTCAGGATCGTGCCAAATGGAAGTCCATAATCTCTGCCTACCCCTCTGGGTGACAGGCGTGAGTGTTTATGTTATGTTATGTTATGTTCATTTTAGAGAACATTTTGAGATAATTTGCGCAGCGGTGCCTACCATATGCGTGTTTTAACACGCACATCTACATTTTTCACAATTAACAATAATAATAAATCTACAGTGAACATTATTACATATAAAATAATGCAATGAAATTTAAATTCCCCATTATCATAAAAACTGTAACATAGTAGTGGAACATGAAAATAGTTGTGGAAATGTTTTTATCTATTTTTAACCTAGTTAGCAGAAACAGTTTGCAGTTTCTATATTAATAGGGGACTGAGTCGAATGGCGCGCGATACATCCGTGCAAACAAAAGATGAGCCATAAACAGTGCGCTAGATTAACGAGGGTGTAATTGAAGATGAGCATTATACAATACCTTTTATATAGGGCCGTGCCAAATGAAATTTCATAATCTCTGCCTACCCCTCTGGGTGACAGACACAGAGTTTATGTATGTATGTATTTGTACATATATAAGATATATGAAACTTTTTCGTTAGTACTTAAAAACAGTATACCTTGATGGTCTAGTGGTCATAAGCCCGACTGCTGTTGGCCCCGGGTTCGAATCCGGATCGGACCAAAATCAGTTATTGGGTTTTTCTGTTCAGTAATTATCAGTAACCGATGAGCCCGATGTCAGGAAGTTGGGGGTGTTTCACACCCGTGACTCGAAAAACACGTAAAACCGTCGATTTTGCGCATTATTTTTCTGTGGTCATTTCGAATTGCCGTCCTATCGGCTACAAGAATGAGGAAATAGAGAGTGCACCTGTGTCTCCGTTGGAACTGGCCGCCATTTTTTAGCTTTTAGCTCAACTGGCTCAAATGGAAGATGATGTTTTTCGGGTGTATGTATGTATGTTAGTTTTTATATTTAACCTATAGAGGTTTGGCTGTGTCTTTGCGACCTCCCGTAACCTAAACGATTTGAAGAAATTAAAGAGTGTGAGGTTTTGTCAGATCTGTCTTCATGATAGAGAGTGTTTGTCACATGATAGTTTTTATGTTAATGATAATATTATTGCAGTTTTGACCGTGGAAGGAATAGGGGATCTCCCACCGGGCAAGGTGTTCAGCCCGGGGAGCGGTTCCGCAGTACTACGGAACGTTGATAGCGTGATTTAGACTTCAGGTGTTACTGGTGTTCCCAGAAAACAATATAGCGCTTGCTTCAAGTGCATTCTTGAACATTTTTTTTAAACATTGAACTTGAGCATTTTTTTACGTGGTACGAGTAGAGCCATGCTGCAGCTATATTAGTAGTATAGTTGTAGCACGACGTATGTTTGCCACCTCTTCTATAAAAAAATAACTAACAAATAAATCAAGTACTTACACTCGCAATTGTTTACACTAAATTTATACAATGTATGAATTGATTATTTTAAAAAAAAAACTTAAATTGACTTACAGTCAAGACAGACTAGTTACTGGCGAAACTGGTTGAAATCTTCATGGGAGCACTGCGAATATTTATTATAATCCGAAAATAAGTTAAATCAGTAAACTAAGCTTGTTACTTTAAAAATACAGCCGCATTGATTACCACCTTTATTTATAAAGTCGGATAAAAAAGAAATTTAAATAAATTTGAAAGTAAGAGGCGAAAATATGAACATTTTATCTAAGTAGAATTTAAACATGCATAAGCCGCATTAACCTGTCTCGTTTTAGCATAGAAAAATACCCAGAGTTTTACCAACGTTTAAATAGCATCAGTTAGTTCTTTTCACTGCGAAATTCTTTTAGACTACTCTTCGGTAATAACTTATTTTGCACAATTGCGAGAGCGGCTGTGAACGACGTCTTCTGTGCAATAATCCCCGCAATAAGTTGAGGCGGGCGCTCGCTGCACATAATTGGATCTGAGGGAACTTGTTGACTTAACACTTCAAGTCGTTATCTCTAGCTCACTGTAAATAAATTTATTTTAAACTCTTTTTCGAGGCTTTCAGCTTTATGGCATTCTTCGTTAACAGTTTAAGAAAATCTGAGTAGCAATTTTGTATTTTTAATTAATGACACCAGCCAGTTGTCGTGGAAAATATTGCCAATGACGGATTTATTTTAAAAAACGAAGTTATTTTTTTGTTCCTTGTTATTAATCAAAAAGGCTTAAAAGGAGCTTTAAAGATTAATACATAGTTCTCCAATTAAACTGCTCTTAAACGTATTTAAAATTAAAGATTAAAGAATTTGCTAAAATATTCATTAGTCTTGGTAACATTGGAGAAGCTCAGGTAGTTTTCAGGGGCATCGGCACCGATGAAATTGTTAATTGCAATTTTGCAGTGCTGAGATATGCTCAGCGGTTAAGGAAAAATCGTAAAAAACCTACGTGCCAGTGATTTAGTGCATCGCGTAGTATTTTTCCCTGCTCCAACACTATCACCGAAATTAGAGCAACAGTGGAATATATCTAAATAATTATATTTTTTGGGTGACAAACGAGCACACAGTCCACTCGATGTGAAGTAGATGGAATGCCTCGGTTCCAGAAAAAAGGGTCTCCGCTATTCTATAGTGATTATATGAAACACAGCAGCATTGAGCTGCTATTTCAAGCAGGTAACAGTTAAAGCGTGGAACTTCCCCGGTTAAGCCAACCCATTCCTTCTACAATAATAATATAGCTGCAGCGTGGCTCTAACAGTAATTTTTTAAACAAATATACCACCTGGGAAGTATACCATTTAAACAAAAAAAAGAATTTTCCACATCGGTACAGGCGTCTTTGAGTAATCGTTGAACATACATAAAAAAGATTCCGAGAAATTGAGAACCTCCTTCTTTTTGAAGTCGGTTGAAAATTAACCGGTATGTAATAATCATCATAATAATAATTGCAACCCTTAACAAGTTCACTGCTGACCTCCCCACAAAACACGTTTTTTATAGAAGAGCGGGCAAACGAGCATGCGGCTCACCTGATGGTAAGTGACATTCGTCTCCCATGAACAACTGCAACACCAGGGGAATTGCGGGTGCGTTGATGGCCTTTTAAAAAGGAGTAAACTCTTTTCTTGAAGGTCCCTAAGTTGTATCGGTACGGAAAAATCGCCGGTGGTAAACGACACACGTTCATGAGACTCCTGCATCCATCAACTACCTGCAAATCGCACCAGGTATTTGCAACGTTTTAATAATTACTTTTTAAACGGAT